GTTCAGAAACCCAAAACCCGTGTGTGTGATGTGTTTGTGTGTGTGTGCGCGCGCGCGCGCGTGTGTGATTTCGGCAGGGTATGGTCCTAGTGTCGGGGTCTGTGTCTTGGGCGTTGCGAACGCGCTTTGTAATGCCGGAATGCCGGGCTCGATCCCAGCTGCGGACGGCTTGTCTTGCGTTGGTTTCGACAGCGCTACAGAGAGCTGACTGCTCAGTAAGCAATGGCAAACTACTGAACATAAATGTGCCTTAAAAAAACAGCTAAAAAATGCTGGGGTTGATTCAGCAACGTCCTGTAAAGGATGCGCAACTAATGTTTTTTTTTTTTTTTTGGTATGGTCCTAGTATGGACTTAAGACTCCAAACCGGTACAAGAAACCTGGAGGGAAAGATAATGCGAGGCTGATGTAACATAAATCAAATCTAATTTTACAACCACGTTTGGGCTCCAGTGATCCATTGAGGGGCTGGAATAGGCAGGGGTTGCGGATAAAACCACTGGCCCTATAAAAAATATGTTGTAACAAGCGACTAGTTCGGAGAATTTCCATCGACGTCGGAGTGCATCTGCCCTTGAGGCAAGAACCAAGAGTCTGCATGTAAATAAGACAGAGCTGTAAAACGGATTGCACACAAAACTCAAGTTCTTGAACAAGACCATAGCCCAGAAGTGATCGAACAACCAGAATTCTCCTGGAGCTGACATCCATTGAACGCTAAGAATAAGAAGCAATGTGACTTGCAGACTCGAGCCGCACGAAAAAATGTGAATCTGATCACATAGTTTCTTTCATATATGTATGTGTGTGTATGTGTGTGTGTTTCTGTCGATAGATATAAGTATAAACCACACACACGCGCGCGCGCGCGCGCACACACACACACACACAAAAGAGCTACCCAGTTGTTTGAAATTGGAGAGGGCACGAAAACAACTTACCACAATCATCAGAAAAAGACATCATTTTTGGGTCATGTTGTGAGAAGAAGGAAACTAGAACATGTTGTGAACACTGGAAACATTCGTGGAAAACAAGGCAGAGGAAGACAGTGTGAGACGATTCTTGAGTCTTTTTGTCATGATAGGGTGATAACACATGAGTGATCGCAGATTGAAGAGAGGCATGGATTGCCCAGTTGGCACATCATGATGATGATAATGATATGCTATGATGATGATGGTGATGATGATAATGATGATTATGATGATTTTCCTTTATATAAGCCCTTAGCATCAGATACCCAAACCATATGTCCTCTGTTATGTATGTAACAACGACACTGTATTTTATTCATCAGTTTGTTAAATCATGATGTATTTTACGATTTTTTTTTATAACTTTCATCCCCAACAGAATATTCACGGAGAGCTGTTCGGGAAGTAATATACGGAAGACAGTCGGTAGAGAAAATCCACTCTTCCTGAAATAACTAATGTTTAATATAGTAGCAATGGCCTGATTCGCCGATGCCATTTCACTGACATTATTTGTTAGCAAAGGAAATTATTACCCCAGTATTTCTTCAAAGTGACTAGCTTCTGGATGAAGCCGTGTAAAACCCACTGCGAATATTTCGTGACACTTTACAGAATAAACCAGTTTTCTGGCAGAAACCAAGTTGTGTGGATCAGTGGAGACATGTGTCGCACATAATGTTGACAGAGGCCTGTGGCTTTCTCGTTTGATATAACCAGATTGTGACAGTTGCCATCAGTATTGGAACTCTGTGCTGGCTGCTGAAGATGATGACGGTGTATGCATGGGAATGCCCCGAGTGCTGTGATGTCATTTCTTGACTCAACCCAACTCAACTCATTTGAAAACCACTGGTAGAATTCAAAGCAAAAGAAGAACATGAAAGTCACTTTACAAGCAGTGCAGCGCAGGATGACGCTAATTAGCTTCTTCTGTTTCATTCTCAGAGCTGTTGAGACTGACTTCTTTGGCTCAGAAGTTGCGGTTTGTATTTCTGATATACCCGGTTCTATTCCAGCTGTGAGTGATTTGACAGCAGAAAGGTTTGCCATAATTTCAGCAACAATTTTGAGAGCCAATCGTGCATAAAGCAGTGGCAAGCCACAAAACGCAAAAAGTCCCTAGTGAAACCATAAACCACACACATATGCTTGGGTTGGCTTTGAACGTCTTCTATGTGCACCTAACATTTTGAGACTGACTAAGGTAGTGTGGAACAAAACAAAATGCCTGCTGTTTTTGAGGCTTCAGTCGTGATATCATCTTTTACCGGAGCTCTGGTTGCATCAGTGATAACCGGGCTGCTTTTAGATCTAACGATTGACCCTACTGTAATGGCAGATGCTCAAGTAACTGAAAGCATCGACAACAGCAACTCTACCATATTACCAGTCTCTGATGAAGAGCGTCAGCGGTATCTGGATCAACTCCAAAGCAAGACGACAAGCACCATGATACCAGCACTGGTGTTTCTCTCGATCCTTGTGGTAGCGGGTCTAGTCGGTAACTCTCTGGTCATCTTTGTGTACTCCTGCAAGCTTCAGTGGTCAGCCACTAGGATCCTGATCATTACCCTTGCTATGCTTGATCTCGTGGCCAACATCGTGGCTATTCCTGGTAAGGATTTTTTGTGGTGAGGTATACATTTATGAGTCAGCGTCTGTGGCTTAGGCATCCCGAACACGCTTGATAATTCTGAAATATATGGTAAAAAAATATTCTACTGCTTCTTCTTCTTCTTCTTCTTCTTCTTCTTCTTCTTCTTCTTCTTCTTCTTCTTCTTCTTCTTCTTCTTCTTCTTCTTCTTCTTCTTCTTCTTCTCCTCCTCTTCCTCCTTCTTCCTATTTTTAATATTATTTTTAGCATTGATCGATGGTATAACTCCGGCGGACTGTTCTAGTTATTTCTACATTTCTGGACTTTGCATTCCAGAACTTGAGTTTTGCCTGCACATCCGTTTTACAGATCTGGTTTATTTGTATGTGACTGTTGGTTTCTCGAAGCACTCCGACTTCGAAGGAAACCTCCCTATTTAGTTGATGGTATACAAATCACGAAAGTCGCCCTATCTCGTCGGCCGCGAGATTTCTTAGGGGATTTTCCGGGACACTCCTCTAGTCTAGAGATGTGATGTGTTTCTCGTTTTGAGCGTTTTAAGCACATCCAACAATGACGATAAACACCACCAAAGAGTGTACAAAATCAAAAATATCATTACTCACGATCCGTGACACCTTCGGTGCTTCCCCCTGCCTGTGTTCCTTGCACACAGGCGCCTGAGACCTAATCACAACAACAACCCTTTAAAGAAACAACAGTCATTCACACACCCTCAACAAAAAAAAAGTTGCGAAAAGACAGCTGTTCACCTTCATCTGGGAAACAGTGTGTCAACCGCGTCGAATGAACGCATCCACTCATCAGTGCGCTGAGTATAGACGTCGAAAGGAGAATCTCATAACAACCCTAGAACATAGGACAACCCGGGGGAAACGATACGAAATCTCGCGGTCGACTAAAGGAGAGACTTTAGTGAGTTGTACCTAGTCGACTTTTACGACATGCTTTTTTGATGAGCAGTTTTTTTTCCCCACATTTTGATACGGTTAGATTTCGGAATCATTTGTTTAAGAATTACCTGCACCTAGGGTCAGTTTGTCGGCTCTGTGGCTAAGTCGATGCGAACGCTTCGCTTCGAAATTCCGGGATGCCGGGTTCGATCGCAATTGCGGGCAATGCACCTTGCGTTGGTTTCGACAGTGGTATTAAGAAAGCCGACCGTCCAGCAGCAATGGCAAACTACTGGACGTAAATTTGCCAAGAGAAACCACACAACAGCTAGGGGCTGTTAGGGTTGGTTCTGTAACGTCCTGTAAAGGATACGCAACTAACTTTTTTTTTAGGGTCAGTTTACTTGCTACGTTGCAACTAAAAAATGTGACAATAAGGGTGCCTGCAGCGAAGCGCCTAACATGAAATTAATTCGCTAAACACAAACTGAGTTGGACTCACAGAGTTTCAAAATCAACATCACGGCTCTCTAGACCTTCCCATTCACTCTGCGTCAACGGTCAGCGCAGAATTTCAGTTACTTTTTGTTCTTCTTTATCGCGTTCTCCGGCTGTAAACTCAGGCTTCAACTTTTGGTTGTTTGTCCACTTCTGTACTCTAGTCCATTTTCCAGAAACTAAGTGTTGCGTGCATATCCGTTTTACAGATCTGACCTATTTGCATGAAGACTGTTGATTCTTAGCCTCAGGCAGATGTACTCCGACTTCGAAGGATGCTCCCAATTAGTCGACTATTATGACATGCTTTTTGGCAGGCAGTGGGTCTATTCTTGTTTTCCCCTTAATGGTACCCTGAGACTCACACGAGGAATTTCAGTTTCGATACTACGAGTGACGAGACTCTTTTTCCACACCCTTTAGGCGTATTGGGCTTATAGGGCTAGACCTATTTTTTATAAACAGTCTGCACTCGGTGGGTAATATGATCAACATCACGCCGACCGTCTTTACTTCCCAGGGCTTTATCTAGTATCCATTTAAGGCTTGGTCGACCTAAGAGCCAAGGTCATATATGAATATTGTCCAGTTTCGTTAAGATCTGAACCCACAAAATTGGGATCTGCAGGTCTTGCCGCCACATCATAGCGGCTCCCGATACTACGAGTTACAGTTTGATTATTTGTCGTTTTCTGACTGTAGAAAGCAGATTGTCGGGGAAGATCTCCTGGTCACTCCCAGCTGCCCTATTCTCTACAGACCGTGATGATCGTTTGGCTCCCAAAGGGCACTGACGACATCTGGCTCATCATGGCTCAGTTTATCACTAAGTCCAGTACCAGCCAGTCTATTTGTCTGCTTGTTTAAACACAAACTTTGACTCGCAGCTCCACGTTTGGGAGGCGACTCTCACATGAAATGTTATTTTATTTTGGCATCCAGCTTGTATTTGTGTACGAAATGTAGCAGACATTCAATTTCCAAACAATCCGTTTGATTAAACATATATTCCAGGAGAGATGTACGACATGTTTCACATTTGGGACTTCAATAATCCTGCCTTGTGTAGAGCCAGACTCTACTGCTCGACCTTCTCAACGATCAGCTCAGCGATGATTCTGTTGGCCGTGGCGGTGACGAGGTAGGTACCAGTTTGTCTTCCCTGGTTCTTGCTGTTTCTTGTGTTGAATTAGAGGTGAACTATCAGTGTTTTATGAGACGTGTTATGAGAAGGAATCAACTCTGTAAAACATGGTGACGGGTGGAAAGCTTAAATGAAAGAGAACAAGGGAGGACAAAGACGAATAATTGATTGAATGGCTGGGTCACATGGATGGGACTGGACAGAAGCACAAATCTGATCGTGATTGCATCTCAAAAATTAGTGCTTATCTGTGTAACGATACATCTAGGAGTTTTTTTCCGTACAATTTTTATCACCTCAGATTTACAATAACTGATGGATACTGTGGGGATGGAGAGTACTAAGAAAGGACTATCATTGAATATAAAGAAAGATTAAATAATGGTTATATAAAAGAAGAAGATAACTCCAGGTTGTGATATATCAATTGAAAAGGGGGGGGGGGGACACCTAACGAAGTCAATAAATTCAAATATCTGGGAACAAGCATATCATCAGATGGCAATTGTGTGACAGATTAAAAGCAGAATAGGTCAAGCGAAAGCTGCATTTCAGAAAATGAAAAATATCTTGTGCAGTAAATCGTTCTCATTTAATGTCAGAAAGAGTGTGCTAAAATGTTACATAGAACCTGTTCTGCTGTATGGCAATGAATCTGTGAATGTCAGTGAACAATTTGGAACAATTTGGAAGCAACAGAGATTTGGTTTCTGAGACGAATGTTACGAATACCTTGAATGACCAGAGTAACTAACAAGGATTGCTTAAAAGAAGCTAATGAAAGTAGATCTCTATTTACAACAGTAAGAAAGAGACAAACACTGTTATTTGGCCGCATAATGAGAAGAGAGTCGTTGGAAAACATTAGTACAGCTGGAAACATCAGTCGAAAAAGGTGGTAGAAGCAGACCAAGAGAGATGATGCTGGATGGGCTAAAACGATGGCATGGAGGGATATCAAGAGAGCTGTTCCAGTCAACCAGGGATCATGATCTGTGGAGACGCATGAGCGCCTACGCCAGTTGGCACGGCACATGATGATGATGAGAAGTCTCCAAGCCTACTCTCTGCGCTTTAAAACTGCCGTGATCTAATTAACTTGCAAACAGCCCCCCCCCCCCCCCCCCAACCCCCGCCATTATTTTAGAAGCTAGGTTCGCAATCTCACTTCCCTATAGACTGAGGACCCTTTTCTACGCCTTTCGGTATATTGGGAATATAGTGCTAGACCTATATGTTTATAGGTCAGCATCACGCCGGCCGCCTTTATTTCCCAGGACTGCACGCGGACCCACTCCAGGCTGGGTCGACCTGAGAGTCAAGTTTATTTTTGAAGAACATCCGACTCCATCAGGAGCCGAACCCATGATTTTCGATCCGCATGCGGGCGTCTATCCGGCAACGCCACAGCGACTCCCATAGATGAAGGGACCATGTTGTTTTATTTTGAAACTAACAGATCTTGGAAATTTGTTCAGTTCATTCTTAAACTGACAAGTCTAAACAGTAACTACTGAGCTTATCCCCAATACCGTTAACTCTCACCAGTGCTTTTCTACAACGGTGTATTGAAGGCAGCTGCATACCGTTAGTCTAATGGTTCATTTCATATCGTCGAGCATTGTCGATGGTTTGGAATGTCTTTCCTGTGCCTTGAAACCCCAGTGAAGAAAAATGTCCCTGTTCCACCCCAGCCCCCACCCACCCACCCATATAAATATGCATTTAAAAACTAAAATGTGTGTGTGTATATATTTCTGGCATTTTGTCAACCCTCATTGAGATCCAGCTCAAAATTTCTGCTTCTTTCTTAAAACATATTTTTGTAGACGTTTTAATGTGTACACAAAGGATGACGAAGAGGAAAAAAACAGAAGAACAAGCAGCAGCAGCAGCAGAAGACGAAGAAGAAGGAGAAGAAGAAGAAGAAGAAGAAGAAGAAGAAGAAGAAGAAGAAGAAGAAGAAGAAGAAGAAGAAGAAGAAGAAGACGAAGACGATGGAGGGGGAGGAGGAGAAGAAGAAGGAAAAGGAGGAGGAGACGGAGGGGGAGACATGGGCGCAAGATAAAGTTTAAAACAATAAAGCAATTTAGAAAGCAATGAAACTATCGTACAATACTAATTTTCCCACATACCCTACAGTTATCATTTTTTTTTCAAGTTGTTATGCTATGATTTGTGCAAGTAACACAGTACTGACAGTTCAATACAAACTAGATTTAACACGTAGAATGAAAATCTTAGTAGAAGGTGAAAATTGGATTTTCACAGAGACAGTTTAAAAAATAGAAAAATGACTTTTACAACAAAGAAAACACGAAAATGTGAAATCCAAAAGAAAGAGATTAACTATGAAAAGAAAGAAAACGTACATATATTTAGTGGGAACGCGAGAATGGAAAGAGATTCATAAAATGAGAAGGAAGGTTTGTGGCAGAGATTCATGGAGAGATAGTGGAAACGAGGTACCCATCTCACAAAATGAAAAATATCTTACGCAGTAAATCACTGTTATTAGATATCAGACTGAAGGTAATGAAATGTGTTGAACCTGTTCTGATTTACGCCTGTGAATCTTCGAAAGTAATCGAATGATTTAGGAAACGTTTGGAGCAGCAACGAATTTTTCGATTTTGTTTTGTTTTGAGGATGCGGTTAGGAATAGTTTAGGCAGTCAGTTCCTTGAGTGTCTCGGTGTGTGTGGGTGTGTTTGTGTGTGTGTGTGTGTGTGTGTGAGTGTGAGTGTGAGTATGTGTGGGTACGCGTTTATGTCACTGAGGAACAATAAGAAATAAAATTAAAAAAAAAAAACCACTATATTCTGGAAGGAGTGATACAAGCGAGAATGACAGCAGGATTTGGTAGACAAGAGAGAATGACAGCAGGATTTGGTAGATACTCAATGTTAAAAAAACATTTAGCAGGAGTGATACAAGAGAGAATGACAGCAGAATTTGGTAGATACTCAATGTTAAAAAAATTTTTAGCAGGAGTGATACAAGAGAGAATGACAGCAGAATTTGGTAGATACTCAATGTTAAAAAAAATTTTAGCAGGAGTGATACAAGAGAGAATGACAGCAGAATTTGGTAGATACTCAATGTTAAAAAAAATGTTTAGCAGGAGTGATACAAGAGAGAATGACCGCAGAATTTGGTAGATACTCAATGTTAAAAAAAATTTTTAGCAGGAGTGATACAAGAGAGAATGACAGCAGAATTTGGTAGATACTCAATGTTAAAAAAATTTTTAGCAGGAGTGATACAAGAGAGAATGACAGCAGAATTTTGTAGATACTCATTGTTAAAAAAATTTTAGCAGGAGTGATACAAGAGAGAATGACAGCAGAATTTGGTAGATATTCAATGTTAAAAAAACATTTAGCAGGAGTGATACAAGAGAGAATGACAGCAGAATTTGGTAGATACTCAATGTTAAAAAATTTTTTAGCAGGAGTGATACAAGAGAGAATGACAGCAGAATTTGGTAGATACTCAATGTTAAAAAAAATTTTAGCAGGAGTGATACAAGAGAGAATGACAGCAGAATTTGGTAGATACTCAATGTTAAAAAAAATTTTTAGCAGGAGTGATACAAGAGAGAATGACCGCAGAATTTGGTAGATACTCAATGTTAAAAAAAATTTTTAGCAGGAGTGATACAAGAGAGAATGACAGCAGAATTTGGTAGATACTCAATGTTAAAAAAAATGTTTAGCAGGAGTGATACAAGAGAGAATGACCGCAGAATTTGGTAGATACTCAATGTTAAAAAAAATTTTTAGCAGGAGTGATACAAGAGAGAATGACAGCAGAATTTGGTAGATACTCAATGTTAAAAAAAATTTTTAGCAGGAGTGATACAAGAGAGAATGACCGCAGAATTTGGTAGATACTCAATGTTAAAAAAAAATTTTAGCAGGAGTGATACAAGAGAGAATGACAGCAGAATTTGGTAGATACTCAATGTTAAAAAAAATTTTAGCAAGGACCCCTTACCCACCACACAATTAAATAAAAATAAAAACAAAAAACAGCTGTGTTTCAAAGAGGAGGATAAAATAAAAATTACAAGCACTGTTATCAAGATTTGGAGAGGGGGGGGGGATGGACGTTTACTCATAACAGAAACAATCACCAAACAACTGACTGACTTCAACTCTGTCATGACCGCACGGCCAGCGATAAATATCCGATGACACTGTGTGCCACCATTCAGAAGAGAATCGCCCAGGGCGCCAGTCCCCAAAACTCCGTTCAACCTGTAGGTTATATTTAGGGCCCCTGACGACAGCCAGAGAGGGAGCTTTATCATAAAACTATTTCGTCCCACACTGAGCCCAGGATTAATATACCTAACAACTAGTAATTTAGTGAGGAAATTTCAGTGTAAGAGCTGACAATGTTTTGCCTTGCTAAAATCTGCTGTACAAAGTGCTGGAGAAAATAGAAAGGCCTATGACTGTTTGTTTTGTTAATAATTTGAAAAAAATAAATAATATTTAATCTGAAGAAAAAGTGATAGTATAAAATTTTTTACAAGTGGTGAACATAAATTCAATTTCAACATTGCTTGAAGCCCCCTCCTTCAACCCCCACCCCCCATTGAATCCTAACTGCGCCCCTTAGGGGATCGCCCTCCCCGCCTGCTCCCTTCCAGACTGAATACCAGTGGTTTAGAGGTGAGGGTCCAGTTTACGTTTCCCGGCCCATCTACACACTGGCTGACTTTCCATTCATACTTTCTCAGACTCTTCTACGTTGAAGGGGTGTCACGCTGTCTTGCCTCCAATGACATCAGCGCCGATGTCGCATGTTCTGTACTACACGACGACATAGCTTTCAGCAACCCCAGAACATCTAGAACTGGCCATAAACCCCCACCCCCCACCCACAGCCTGAGCCTAGTTCACACGAGAGACTCTTCTCGAAAAAAAGCAGGACAACGTGACACCCTCTGACCTAGATTAGACTGAGAAAGTGTGTATGTAGATGGGCCGGTAAACGTTAACAGATCCGAGGTAAGACATCTCGAACATATCAGACGACAGCTAGTTTCATTAGCATGAGAACTGCGATAACTGCTGAAAATGACAATGAAACTTTTATTAAAATAAATCAAGCACTCCGATGTCAGTTCTTACATCAACTGAATTCACTCTCTCAAAAAAGTAGCAGCGAACCAGAAAACAAACTTAAATTTATATTTCACTGACCTTTCCTTCATTCTCTTCAAAGATGCACTTCTCCTTTTTTTTTCCTTTTGTGAGTTCTACTTCCTGAAAAATTAAAAGCGTTTTCCTTTCAGTTTTACATTCTTTAAATGCAGCCTTGATCTTTTATCACAAAACAAAATTAAATTTCATCAATAAAACCATTTCTTTCGCTTTAACTGGATTGCTTTCTATTTCTGTTAATTCTATTCTCATTCTCGCTTCTAGATTGTACTGTCCTTGGTATTTCAGAGCAATTTATTCTTCATTTTTCTTGCTTTCTTCCACATTTTCTTGTTTATTCTTCCAGCTCTTTCTCCCACATTCAATTGTTATTCTTTTATTTTCCATCTTGCTCTTCCTTCCACATTCTCTTATTTTTCTTCGCCTTTTCTTCCACATTCTCTTTTTTTCCGTGCTTTTTTCTTCCACATTCTCTTATTTTCCGTGCTTTTTCTTCCACGTTATTTTATTTCTTCCTTGCTTTTTCTTCCACATTATCTTTTTTTTCCTGGTTTTTTTCTTCTACATTTTTTAATTTTTTTCTTCTTATTCTTTCTTTCACATTCTCTTTTCTTTCTTGTTGTTTATTCCACATTCTCTTATTTTCTTGTTGCCGTTTATTCTATATTCTCCTATTCCTCTTCGTGATGTGCCTATCACATTCTGTTACTGTTACATTCCCTTCTTTACTCTTCTTTCTCTCTCTTCCACCCTTTCATATTCTTCTTGCTTTTTCTTCCACATTTGCGTCATTGTAAATTCCTATGTAAAGTTCCACCTGTCAAAACTGAAATTTTTTTGTTAGACTTTAAAAAATATTTGTCCAGATTGTACAACTATATGTTAGCTCAAATTTATGTGCCATGTAAGAACATTTTTTTTTTTTTCGTGGGCTAAATGACAAGAATGTATCACATAAGATATTCTTCGTCTCATTTTATTTAAGCAAATATGTAGCAGCATGTGATCCCAAATTATACTATAAAACATATTGGAATCATACAGTATCATATTATGCAAACACATGCATTTATGTTTATAAGTAATGTTGTTTTTGACAAACACTGACTTGAAATATGTCTCATTCGTGCCCAGGTATCGGAAAGTATGCCATCCACATAAGTGGCAGATCACAATAAGAACGGCTAAAGTAATCAGCATCGTCCTGGCTACTGTCGGAGTTCTGGTCTCTATACCGTACGCAATCCTCAACGGACGTCAAACAAAGCCGACACCACGCTCTGACATCCACGCCTATGAATGCACAACTGACGATGAGTACGTCAACACCAGTTATCCACTAGCCAACTATGCTTTCTTCTTAGTGATGTATATTTCTTGCTCTGTGTCCCTTACAGTGCTTTATATTCTCATAGGTGCAAAAGCCTGGAAACACAGTAAAATACACGGAGCATCTCCCAGTACACCTATGCCAGCCTTGGAAAATGCAACCAGTTCAAAATACACTTCAAAAGTAACGGAGTCGTCCAGTCAGCATAGCTGTACTAGTTGTGGTAGCCCCAACAGTAAGAGTGTAGACACGTCGATTGCTGTCGAGTCCGCTATTAGGATCACTAGCTGTGCTGGAGATATTAACATTAAACAGTTTCATGTAGGTGGCGATACAATTGAGTCCCCAATTCAGTATAGTATTCGTGTTTTCACAGATCGGATTGAGGTCCAGACTACAATGGTTGGAGAGTTCTTTGCTAAACTACAACAAACAAAACCAGGTCTCTTGAAGCTTCCTAGTTATGTAGACAGTCGGGATAACAGTATTTGCAGTGTAACCAATCTTCAAGTAGAAGACTGCCTTGGAGAGAAAACTAGCGCTCTCGGCATTAAACGGATAGACAGCGATGACTCCAACGACGGTATTTATGATATTGATTCAAATGGGAGATTGACTGAAAGTTGCCCAGACGATTTTCTTTACCAAGAAGACAAACTAGTAGCAGACAGGATAGATGACAAAATAAATGAACCATTAAACACATTTCGCTCAAAACAATGTTTTGGAAATAATGGTCAAGAATATAATAATCATATTCTGAATCTTCGCAATGAAGTTGACCAGGACAAACAGTATCCAGCATCAGCAGATACTGATACAGATGAAGTTTCAGATGAATCTGACCCTTTGTCCGTGTTTAAGTGGTTGGATGTTATATATTCTCCTGATGAAGGACACAGTACATTGTGCCCATGCTGTGTCCAAAGAGACGCCAGTCTTTCTTTTAGACTCTCTCTGAACAACAATTTACTTCAGAAAACTGAATGGTTGAGAACTAGGGTACTCGACGCTCTGGGCGGGCACGACAAATCGACAAAAGGCAAGTCTTTTTTCAGTGTGTTAGAGCAGAATCCTGCTGTAACTAACACACATACTAGCAGCTGCGGTCCTGTGGCCTGTCACAACAAGAGCCTGACTGAATCTGTTCGTCCCCAACACAACACTAACCTTGCTAGAAACAGACTTCGGGAAATTGTAACCCAAAAACTGTCCTCACTTAAGATCGGATCGCAACGACAGAAAATACGGAGACGACCTATTGGTCGAACAACCATTATGTTAATTATTATTAGTGTCATTTATATCCTAGGTTATCTTCCGCATTTAACATTAATGCTTGCCAAATTCTTATCCCCAAGTATGCTTGTCAACATGTCAATGGTAGATCTCACATTCTACAATCTGTTCCTTCGAACTTACTTTCTCAACTGTGCAGCTAACCCAATTGTGTACAGTCTCTGTGACAGCAACTTTCGGCGTGCGTGTTTTAAAGTTATTAAGTGTTCCTAAGACTAGAATGGTTCGGCCTTTCCTTGAGGCCCAAACAGTCTGCACGTGGCTGCCCTGGACGGATTCTCGAGAGCAGCACCTGAAGAAGAAAAGTGGATACAGTAGACACGACACAATTAAGGCTCCGTAATGACCTGAGAAACAATGACTACTACAGTCATCCTGGAGATAGGTTAGACTTTGATTCAAAATCGGGGTACCTCTGCCTGAGAGGCAAAGGACAAACTACTGCAAACAGATAAGTTCAGTAATGGAGGTACACGCATGTGTGCAACACACCCAAGTCCAGAAAAACGAACAACCAGGACTTTTCGCGGGAGCTCACAGCCGGTCAAAATAAGCGAACAACTTCAACAACAACAACAAACGGTTCGGCCACCTGAGAATGGACCAAATGACGTCGGGAGAGAAAAGCAAAAGAGAGAGAGAGAGAGAGAGAGAGAGAGAGAGAGAGAGGGAGAGAGCGGAGAAAGAGAGAGAGAGCACAACCTGGACATGAAAACACCAAGAGCAGACGGAGACATAGAAGAACACGGATGAAAGGAATCACTAGCAACATGAGACGTTACAATATTACAGCATCTCAGGCAACCGAGCGAGCCCTAGCTCGGCTACTTACCATCGCTTGAACTTTGGTACTTAGCGGCACAAAGCAGATATTATCAACAGAAGAGGAAAAAGAAATGTTCTCACACTGAGATTATATGCATTTGTATATAAAAATATTACCTATAAGGAAGGGGAGTCGCCGTGGCGTAGCGGCTTGACGACCGCGTGCGGATCGAAAGGTCGTGGGTTCGCTACCTGGCGATGCCGGACTTTTAAAAAAAATGACATGGACTCCCAGGTCGACCCAGCCTTGAGTGGGTACCGGGTGCAGACCCAGGAAGTAAAGGCGGACGGTGTGAAGCTGACCACATCACCCATCTTGTGCCGACTGGGCTATAAAAATATAGGTCTAGTCCTATATACGCCTGGAGGCGAGAAAAAAAGGACCTTTTTTTTTAAAACTGTACTGTACCTATAAGAAGTGTTACAGCAGATGTGTTTTTGGATTTTTTTGTTGTTGTTGCTGTTTTTTGTTTTCATAAATGGATGGAATGGCACGCAAAATACACGAAGCCGACGCTAGACATGTTTTGTTTTTTAATATCTCTAAACTGAAAGAGATTCGATCACATCACCACAAGAACAGAAGGAAACCATGTTAGTCACTGAGCTACCACAATTTGCAGGCAATGTATCAAATGTTGATGCAACATTCCGGAAGTTTCCTGTCACAGAATTTAGACGAGAGAAGCAATGTTTAGACGTTCCATTTTTTTCCAGTTCGCATCCCTTTTAAAGAACGAATTCTGTCGTTGAATTTAACTTTCCGTTAGCGGGAAAAAAACGGGGAGAAAATTCAACAATTTCATGCCATCTCAAAAGTCCCGTTTGGAAAATAAATGCACAAGAAAAGCACATTTAAAGGCTTATTTCCCTATTCCAATAAATTGGGTAATAGTTTTTTTTTCTTCTTTCACCCATCTATCTATCTATCTGTCTATATGACTATCTATCTATGTCTATCTATCTATCTATCTATCTATCTATCTATCTATCTATCTATCTATCTATCTATCTATCTATCTATCTATCTATCTATCTATCTATCTATCTATCTATCTATCTATCGATCTATCTATCTATCTATCTATCTATCTATCTATCTATCTATCTATCTATCTATCTATCTATCTATCTATCTATCTATCTATCTATCTATCTATCTATCTATCTATCTATCTATCTATCTATCTATCTATCTATCTATCTATCTATCTATCTATCTATCTATCTATCTATCCATCTATCCATCTATCTATCTATCCATCTATCTATCTATCTATCTATCTATCTATCTATCTATCTATCTATCTATCTATCTATCTATCTATCTATCTATCTATCTATCTATCTATCTATCTATCTATCTATCTATCTATCTATCTATCTATCTATCTATCTATCTGTCTATCTATCTATCTATGTCTATCTGTCTGTCTTATCTATCTGTCTATCTATCTTATCTATCTATCTGTCTGTCTGTCTATCTATCTGTCTATCTATCTATCTATCTATCTATCTATCTATCTATCTATCTATCTATCTATCTATCTATCTATCTATCTATCTATCTATCTATCTATCTATCTATCTATCTATCTATCTATCTATCTATCTATCTATCTATCTATCTATCTGTCTATCTGTCTATCTATCTATCTATCTATCTGTCTATCTATCTATCTGTCTATCTATCTGTCTGTCTGTCTGTCTGTCTGTCTGTCTATCTGTCTATCTGTCTATCTGTCTATCTATCTATGTCTATCTATCTATCTGTCTATCTGTCTGTCTGTCTGTCTGTCTGTCTGTCTGTCTATCTATCTATCTATCTGTCTATCTATCTATCTGTCTATCTATCTATCTGTCTGTCTGTCGATTTGTCCTGTCTGTCTGTCTGTCTGTCTGTCTGTCTGTCTGTCTGTCTGTCCGTCCGTCTGTCTGTCCGTCTGTCTGCCCTGTCTGTCTGTCTGTCTGTCTGTCTGTCTGTCTGTCTGTCTGTCTGTCTGTCTGTCTGTCTGTCTGTCGGTCTGTCTAGTCTGTCTGTCTGTCTGTCTGTCTGTCTGTCTATCTGTCTGTCTATCTGTCTGTCTGTCTATATATATATATATCTGATATGTCCGTATATCCATATGTCGGTATGTATATATCTATATGTATATATATATCTTTCGAAGAAGATTAGGACGATGGTGATGATGAGGTTAGTGATGATAGTGATGGTGCTGATGATGATGAAATTGTAAAAGAAGAAGAAAGCAATTTCGGTAATTATTAGAGCAACATTTCAGGAACGGACACTTCTAGAAATAAAAAAACAAAGGTGAATAAATTGCATCGCATAACCTCATATATAAAGAACAAACATAGAGGGACCCAAATGCATGCAGCAACCACATGCGTACGTACGCACACACATATTATTCACAAAAATACACACGCACACGCATACTTAACGTATCAAAAACGCCCGTCCCAAAATGGCCAAATGTTGGCTAAATACACTTCCCTGTCCATTTCTTTAGAAAAAAATTCTCAAGGTTCAAATTGGATTGGGGATCTAAGGCGCGAGAGACCAATCGAAATTTAGTTGTCGAAGAAAATGGATTGAAATTCTATGCGTTCTCTTGCAATGGATTTAGAATTTTCATTATCTTATGTGCGTTAACAAACGAGAATAAGCTGGGGAAAAGTCGATTTTTACGTACGAGACTTCCCCTCGTTTTTGCGGCTCTTAATATCTTTCTGCATGAGGTTTTCTTTGGCAGCTTTGGATCGCAGACACTGTGTGGGAAATTATTGTGCCTGTTTAAGGATTACCGTGTTGGAATCAACATAGAATACATTTAATATGGTCATCATCAAGTGTCCTGCCGATTGGCGTGGGCGATAATTCCTCTCCACAATCAGCTATCTGCAACAGCATGTATCAGTTTGTGTACTCACACTGCTCCATGCCGTGACAAAAGACTGTCAAGAATCTTTTCACACTGTCTTCCTCTGTCTCTTTTATCACAGATCTTTCCAGTGGTTACAGCGTGTTCCATTTACTTCTTTTTATAACATGACCAAAAGTGATGTCTGCCTCTTTCTGATGTTTGTGATGGGTTGTCTTCGAGCATTCGCCTCTTTCAAAACATCTGGGTTGCTCTTCTTAGCTGTCCATATAATTCTAAGGATTCTTCTGTAAACCTCATCTATGATTTATTTAATATAGCATAAGTAAAAGGAGGACAAAGGCTGCGTACACACACATAAAATTTATAAGTGAGTAATCCACGAGACAGATCAAGAAGACGGTGGATAGATAATTTCAAATTATACCTCAAAACTTGCAAGATCACTAACTGGTCGAAGTCACATAGATGAACTGAGGAGGGTCATATTTTGCAGCAGTAAAACTCACTGTGAGCAATATCATTATTAATTAGTTCCCGTGTGGGTCCGGGACCCTGTTAACGGAAAAACAAGAATGGACCCACTCACTGCCTACCAAAAGCCTGTCGTAAGAGTCGACTAACTGGGAGCTTCCTTTTAAGTCGGAAAAGATATAAACCCGAACGAAAAGTATATTAGCAAGCTTCACAATATAACAAATACAAACAAAACATGAACGTTGCGGCTAATGAGCCTTCATCAGCACATACAAATTAAACAATACTACATAGATACACAAAATCACCTAGCTGGTATCTCGATACTGCCAGGTCGGTTGTTACTCAGCAGAATGACCACACGTGACAGCTGGGGTAATAAAAACCCCCCTGTTGAGTATCAGGGTTCATAACTGGGGTGTAGGGGTTAAAACTGTGAGGGCAGTTCAATCACCTGGAAGATTAAATCAAACTGTGTTGGCAACTCATTTCGGAGGGCGTCAAAGTCCCCAGAGTATAAACAAAGCGATTCTCAAGAGACTTGCGGACTCTGTCGCTGGAATGGCTAGATTTAATGGCTGTCACCTCCATGTCGTGGAGACCTTGGTGATCCTGGGAATTGAAGTGCAACGGTACTGGTTTCTTTTAAGTCGGAGTGCATCTGCCTGAGATGCAAGGAACCATACAAATGAGTCAGATCTGTAAAATTGATGCACACGCAACACTCAGGTTCTGGAACAGGACTGCAGTCCAGAAGTGGATGAACAACTAGAACTTTCCGTCAGAGCATACAGCTGGTGAACGCAAAGAAGAAGAAGATTATCAATTAGGAGGTTCTTTAGAAAAGTCGCTCGCGTCACGGCATGCGTGAAAGTTTCACTTTCTTCAGACAAGGCTCCACCCGTGTGTGCTTAGAAGGCCTTTCTCTAGCCAGTGCTCCACCCGTGTGTGCTAAGAAGGCCTTTCTCTAGCCAGTGCTCCACCCGTGTGTGCTTAGAAGGCCTTTCTCTAGCCAGTGCT